ATGGACTAATGGAGTTGAGGAACACCTGTTATAGTCTAATTCATACGAGCACTCTTAAATCTCATTTTTAGACTGATATTTATGCACTACCTTGACTAGAGGGGTCTACGAAGCTTGAACAAATGTAAGATTTCATAGAACTGAAATAAAAGTGTTCTAAAGAGTCTAGCAATTGACCATGTTAGTTATGACATTTTGTCCGCCTCCGATCAAAATGTCAAACCAAAAAAGAGGGGCATGCCATGATCTGTAAGGTGACCGAATCTATGATACAAACCTTAAAGTTTAGGTAGCTAATCTCGAAACCAACTTTTCGATCTTGATGTTTGTCAAAGATTTGCACCTATAAAAGATTAAAAGAACAGTTGATTCTTTTGATATTCAATGAACTCATGTTTTATGATTTGTTTCAATTGTGAAACTTAGAAGGGGGCAATTTTATTAAAATTCATTTTGATATTTTTCAAGATTTTAAAAATTCAAAGGAAGAAAAACATTTTCAAACAAGATAAGTTCTTTGGAAGTATCTTATAATTCAACGAATGTCTCTCCGAAGCTCAAGATCGAAGCTGGGGAAAGAGAAGATAAATTTTTGAGCCAAAATTTGATGGGGCAAGAAAAACAAATTATCTCAGGTCGAGGTTTACAAGAGTACACCCTAGTGGAAATGAAGACAAACTGAATCAATGATAGAGTGAAGAATGCTCTCGCAACCATTCTCCTTCCATATCGAGAAAACATACATCAACACATACATATATACATACACATACATACATGACGCATGAAATTTGCATCTTTGCATTCATTATCATGTGCGATAAAGACTTTGATTTTCCCTCTCTTGAGGACAAATTCAATAATTCATCAAATAAAATACAAACTTCATCATGACACCCATAAATATCCAAGATTAGGCAATCATAAATACATCATTTCAATTTTTCAGGAAATAAGAGCTAAAAAAATAACCAGATGTCTTCAACTTGAAAGAACAATGCCATCCACAGATATGACTTCCTGAAGTCAACAATCAGATCTTCTTAAGATGTTTCCTCAACATGAAGGAATCGATAAATAGACTATGAGTTCTTGAGATTATCTTTTTAAAAAAATAAACTGTCGTCTCGCTTGAGACAATTTCTAAAAATTAAAGTTTGGTCTTTCTTGAGGTAATTTTCTTGAGAAATCTTTGAGTCTGTTTCACTTGAAACAAAACAAAAAAAATCTTTGAGTCTGTCGAAACAAAATTTTGTCTCACTTGAGACATCTTCTCTCGGAATACAAATTTCAGAGTTGTTTTACTTGAAATAAAGTTAATCACTTGAGATTTTCAAAGTTGATTAGTCTTGCTTGAGACAGTTTCCCTTTAAAGAACAAAAATTCTGAGATTGTTTTACTGGAAACAAAATTTATAATCTTTGAGTTAGTTTCCCCACCTTTGTGATTGTTTCCATTGAAACAAATTTTGCCTCTCTTGAGGCAGTTTCTATGGAAACACAAAATCTTTGAATCTATTTCTCTTAAAACAAAATCATCTTTGAGTCGTTTCCCTTTAAATGAATTTTGTCTCTCTCGAGACAATTTCTCATGAAATACCAACCTTTGAGATTGTTTCCCTTGAAACAAATTTTGTCTCACTATAGACAGTTTTCTTAAAAACAAAGTTTTGTCTCTCTTCAGACAATTTCTTTTGAGAAAAAAATCTTTGAGTCTGTTTCTTTGGAAACAAAGTTTTGTCTCTCTTGAGACAATTTCTTTTGAGAAAAAAAATCTTTGAGTCTGTTTCTTTGGAAACAAAATTTTGTTTCCTTGAGACAATTTATTTTGAAGGAAAATCTTTGAGTTTGTTTCTCTTAAAACAAAAGTCTTTGAGTCTGTTTATCTTGAAACATCATCTTTGAGTCGGTTTCCCTTGGAACCATTATCCCTAAAGATGGCCTACCATCCTCATCGCGTAGGAATCGTATCATCCCCCGACCAGACCTCCTCATCACGTAGGAGCCGTGTCATGCCTAGATAACCAGCCACCCTCATCACGTAGGAACCGTGTTATCATTCTTACAGATGGCCTGTTGTTCTCATCATGTAGAAACCATGTCATCCCCGACCAGACCTCCTCATCATGTAAGAGTCGTGTCACCCCTAGATAACCAGTCGTCCTCATCGTGTAGGAACCGTGTTATCACCCTTCCTAAAGATGGCCAGAACTCTTCATCGCGTATGAGCCGTGTCATCCCCTGACCAGATCTTCTCATCACATAGGAGTCGTGTCATCCTTAGACGACTAGACCTCTTCATCACATATGAGTAGTGTCATCCCCAAAACAAACACTATCAAATTTCAAACCAAAAAATAGAATCAGACAAAAACTGATTGTCTTTTTCATCTTTGCCCTACTCTTGTTAACACAAGAATGTGCAAAGAGGGGCATCTGTAGACACCTATTTTTGACCGGGTGTACAAAAATACTATTTTAATTATTATTATTATTAACAATTACATTACAAATGTTTGCATGCCAACCAGAGACCCAGCATAGATTACCCAGCACCTATGCCTACTCGGGTGACCCATTAACCCAGACCCAACTGAACCGGGTTCAACAACCCACCAGCAGTGACCCGCCTAGCAAATCGACCCAGCGCAGCTGAAGCCCATACCTGACCCGAAGACGACCCGATCCAAGCCCAGAAATTAACCCATCCAGTTAAGGTTTCAAAACCCTAGCTAATTCAAACACCAACTGCCGTTTGAGCTGAATTTCACTATCACCGCTGCCGTTGCCAGAGCCAATCTAGACAAACCCATCAAACAATGACAAATCTACCATCAGTCAGCCGAAAAATCACACCAAGTCAGAATAAATCTACATCAAATCTTATCCTAGAACCTATGGTATTATTTCCTTACAAGCTGAGCATTCAAATCCATCAATCTTCTCGGGCATAAAAAAATAGATCAATCACATGCAAGGGATAAGAAAGAAGAAACAGAAAGAAGAAACAGAAAGAAAAGAGGAGGGGTAAGTTTCGAAAGAGAGAAAGATGAGAATATTCGGGTCTAGAAAAAAAAAGAAAATACACAGAGAAAAAAAAGAAAGAAACCGAGATAAGAAAAAAACCCTCCATCCTATTTGAACCAAACACCAAAAGAAAAGAAAAAATAGAGGAAAAAAGGAACATACCTTGGTCGGAGAAACGTCGGGAAGTCGAGTGGTCACCGGAGTTCAAAGCTTTCAAAAGGTATATGATAGATCTAGGATGTTTTGGGCGATTTTAGGCTTATTAGGGGTGGTTTTCAGGTAGAGGAGGCTAAGGGGAATCATTTGGGTGGTTTACCATCTTCGGCCACCTACGGTCACCGCGAGCTCCGCCGGTGGCAGCCATTTTTTCTTTCCCGTACGGGGAGTTGAGAGAGTTCTCAATTCTCTCTCTCTCTCTCTCTCCGTTTCTGGAAACCAAACTAAATGAAAGGCTTAGGCCATTTTCGACCTTGGATTATATATATATATATTAATTACAAAACGACGTAGTTTTGCTTCTCATCTCTCCATGTTTTCTTTTGAAATTTTGGGGCTAATAACAACTTTGGTCCTTGTAACTCTGTAATCTCACACGCGTGTTTTTCAATGTTTGGGTAAATCAAAGTGTAGGTCCCTATATCTTTGTAATCTCTTGATTTGATCAGTAAATGAAATTTTAATGTCTTGTTTCAGGAATGTATCTTTCCATAATTATATTTCGGTCACTAGTTGTTTATTTTGTCATGATTGTGTATGTTTCACTTGGGTCAAAATGTTTTTAGTTATTTCATTTTAATCACTAGAAGCATATGTTGTATATTTTTATTGATGTTTGAATCTGGCCATTACATTTGTAAATATTTTATTTTAGTCACTGCTTGGTATGGTTTAATTGCTATATGATCCTTTATTTTCTGTTCATTTCATTTTGGTCCCTAATATGATTTATAAATTATTTTCATTTATAGTACCTGCACTGTTTAATATTTTTTTGGCTCTGGTTTATGTGTATTTATGATTTAGTCCTTTAAGTTTCTGTTTTTATTATTTTATTCCTTTAAATTTTTGTTTTTCCATTTTAGTCCTTTAAGTTTCTTTTGTTATTATTTTAGTCCCTTAAGTTTCTATTATTTACTATTTTAGTCCCTTAAGTGATTTTTTTTTGTATTTTAGCTTGGTTTGTAATATTCATTTGTTTTTATTTCAATCTCTTATGTATGTACATTTTATATGTTATGTATTCACTTGTATCACATATAAATAAATGTGTTTATCTCTATTTATTGTAAATATACGAAAATGAGAAAATTATTATGAGAGAAATCTACGAAGACGTCTCCCAACTAAAGGGAATGTGTCTTTTCAAGGATTTTTCGCATAAATATGTATTTTATATTCGATAATTTTATTTGTCCACGTTTATTTATTTAGAGTATTTTTCACCACTTTTCATTTTTAGTTTGTTTTATTTTATGTTATTTTATCTTTACTAAAATTGTGAAATAATGTCTTTTGTGAGGGGAATCTATGGGAAAGTCTCCTAACTGTAAAGGAAGTGCTTTCATAAAGATTGTTCACACAAAAGGACATTAATTATCCAAAAATTGACTTTTTTTAAAAGTCAAATGAATAAAATGATTATAATTTAAATACATTTTTAAGTTTGTAATTCCCAATATTTAAACAACATATAATCGTTTAGGTATCAAAATTTAGGCGTTGTGGGGTGGTAACCTTTCCCCACACGTAATCGACTCCCGAACTCTTAAAAACGAATATTCGGTAAAAACGCAAACTATTTTTTGTCGGTTAAGGTTTCTAACATACCTAACTTAAAGGTCGGTGACAACTCCAAAATCAAATCAATTTTTAAAATCATATTTTATTATTTTTCCCTGAAAATTAAATTTTTTAAGTCTAATGTATCTCCTAAAAATGTTACCACAAAAATAAAACTTCCCAAACCGCGCCCTATTACATTTGGGAAAAGTTAATCCTATGGACTCTGTTCTCCAACACCTCCACCTTCTCACCCACCACCACTGCCCACAACCCCAAACCAATTAATCCTCCTACCCGGCGCTGGCAATAAATCGTTATATTCCTCCCCAAGATCCGCCCCATACTCGCCAAAAACTCGCTCTTCAACGGCGCTGGCAACGTTCCAACCGTCGTTTGATCAAACAGTTGAACCCCCATAACATAGCCTTCCATCGGATCCAGGAACTCGTTCTGCAAAATAGCTTCGTAAGGGTACTTGATCAAGGAGATATAATGTAACCAAACCCAGTATTTGGGTAGCCGATTTCGAGCGACGAGGAAGCCACAGAGGAAGAGAAAGTAGAAGATAATGGCGATACCGCTAACGAAGGTGAGGAATACATCGGGTATAAGCCCTGAAATAAAAGCCGCGAATGAACTTCCGGCCCAAAACGCAGCGAGGATCGTGTCGAATAAGAATAAAAACCGGTGACGCCGCCGGCGAGGCCAACGGCCCAAAACGTTATCAACGATAAGGTGAGGGCAAGGTTGAATAGTAATGGAATGTGGGTAATTGAACAAGCGAGGACATACGAGGACGACGATAAGCGTTGTAAGAAATTTCTCGCATGAAGATATATCTTTCTTGAATGAAAGTGGGGACTCTGGTTATACAGTTGAAGAAGACTGTGGCGATGGAAATGGATATGCACCCTAATCGTTCTTGAATGCCGGCAGGGGAGTCATCGAGCTGCCAAAACATGGTTTGGCGAATGAAGATAATACCATCACTTCTATGTAAAATGGATTGGCGAATGATGGAACTGATAATGATTGGTTCGCACCACCACTGGAGGATTAATTGGTTTGGGTTGTGGGCAGTGGGGGTAGGGATGGCAACTCAACCCGAATCCGACGGGTTCCGATCCGACCTGACCCGACCCGATCGGGTTGGATTTTTTTAAAAAAATTTTGGGTTCGGGTGGGGTCGGGTCGGGTTTAGGATGAAAAAAATCCGACCTGACCCGACCCGAAATATATATATAATTTTATCCTATATTAGGGATAATTACAAATGTCCCTCCATATATAATTTTTTCAATTAAGTCACTGTTTCATTGAATAAAATTTTTTTTATTATTATTTCGGGTCAGATCGGGTTGGGTCGGGTTTCTAAGTCATATATTCGGGTTGGGTCGGGTCCGGTGAAACCTTAATTTCGTCGGGTCGAATCGGGTCACGGGTGAAAACCCCTTTCTTCTCGGGTCGGATCGGGTGACCCAAAAACCCGACCCGACCCGCCCCGACCCATTGCCATCCCTAAGTGGGGGTGGGTGATGAAGAAAGGTGAAAGGAGGTGCTTGAGAAGAGAATCCAAAGGATCAACTTTTCCGAAGTGTAATACGGCGCCGTTTTGGAATTTGAATTTTAATTTTTATAGCTGAAAAAAAGGATATTAACGTGCCACATCATTATCTATGGCAGATAACGGATGGTAACAGTACGGATCATATTGTAAACGAATAAAAAGTTTGATAAATGTATTGTAAGTTTTAAAAGTTAAGTGACCAAAATAAAATATCTTAAAAATTTAGAGACTATTTATATACCTTACCTTTAAAAATTTATAAACAAATATTAATCTATAATTACCTGAACTATTTAAAATAAAAAAAAATGAACGACACTTATTTTTAAAAAATTATATGATTATAGATATATTTACAACATCATGTTTTTCAAATCTAATAATTTTATGTTAGTTAATAGTTTCGTAATTAAATACTTAAGTATTTATAAATAGTGATAAGGTTTAAGCTTATTTTATAATAATTATCCTTTGTAGACACGTATTTTTGTTCGGGGTTTATTTAGTATATATATAATACATAGTTTTTAGAAAATGTTTTTTTCAAAACATACAATATATGGTTTTAAAGAAATCAATTTTTGACAATACGTATCATGATTTTGAAAATATGTTTTTAAAAGACATATATTTTATAGTTTTGAAAACATATATATTATATAATTTTGAAAACATTCTTTGAAAACATATATAATATATAATTTTGAAAACATTTTTGAAAGCGTATATAATATATAGTTTTGAAAATGTTTTTTTGGAAATATATAATATATAATTTCGAAAACATTTTTTGAAAATATATATAATATATAGTTTTGAAAATGTTTTTTTGAAAAAGTATAATATGTGGTTTTGAACACGTTTTGAAAACTTATAATATATAATTTTAAAAACATATTTTGAAAGCATGTATATGTGTTTTTAAAATAATGATTTTTTGGAAACATAATATATATTATATAATTATATACTTACATATTATATATATATTAATATTATTTTTATTTTATTTATTATATTTTTTTACATTATATTTATTTATTAATTTTTTTTCAAGTTCATTTCAAGTCCAGTAGGGGTCCAAAATTCAAAGTTTAGGTCCAGAATACAACCTAATCGGGTAGTCTGACCCAACAGACCCGACAAGCTCAAGTGGGCCTGACCCAACCTAAAGTGTTAAGGTTTTGTGTTTAATCAGGGGCGTCGCAAGAGAGGAAAACGGCCGCGCGCGTGGAGGCCATGCACCGATGAGTCGGCTGAGACTTTCGGTCGAACGCCCGGGACTGAACCATCTCGGGATCTCCGGCCCAACGACGACCTCAACATAACGTAAACAAGTCGGGAAACAACCCCGGAAAGATTGGGATGATCCCGATATCATCAGGACCTCCAAACGACCGATCGAAGGCAATAAAAGCCTCGTCGGGGAAAACAAGCGAAAAACTCAAGCATCACTGGAGTATCAAGCAACCACAACAAGCAAAATTGAGTCAAACTCCAAAAATATCACAGAAAACCAACAAAAAAAAATCGAAACAACAACGCAAACACAAAAAAACCACTTGCAAAACCGCAAGGAAAATCACAATAAGAACGAAGGAGAAGCATCGGTTCGTGGCTCGTCGGAAAGGAAGGGTCTCCGGATTTTGAAAGGAAGCTGATTTAAAAGGTAAAAATTCAAAAGTTTAGGCTTAGATCTACGCCATTCATGGCTTTTTTAGGTGATTTGGGTCTCGGTTTAGGCTTCCGGGGGTATTTATAACCGAGGGACCACTGTGTAATTAGCTAATAGTTAAATTATTTTCACAGTCCCTACAATTTTGATGCGTAATTCGTTTTGGTAACCTGTTGTAAATTGGCTCTGGAATTTTAAATTTATTCAATTTAATCCCTGTTTAAATTTATTTCATTTTGCACTCAGTCCCCTAACTTTTGTTTTTTTCTCTTGCAGCTCATTTTTAGTATTAATTCAATCCATAAATTTCAATTTATCTTAATTTGATCCTTTTTATTTTTTATCTATTAATTGATTTTTTTTTTAATTTTAACATTTTTTTTTAATTTTTTAAAAGCACTTTTTTATATTTTCTCTTTTAGCATTTTTCTTATATTTTTTTATTTCTCTTAAAATTTTCCTTTTTTATTATTTTTTCTTCTCTTTTAAAGATTTAATATTTTTTATTTTATTGATTTTATTTAATGTTTTTTTTATTTTTTTAAACATTTTTCCTTTTTTTTCTTAATTTAACCCTTTTTATTCTTCTCCTTCATTTACTCAATATTTTATTTTACAATCTAACATTTTTTTTTTTACTTTTTAGGGGTAATTTCAATCGATCAAAGGTAATAAATTCTAATAAAATCTTTAAATTTCAATTTAGCTTTTAGTTTTTTCAATTAAGACAGCTGATAAATTAAATTTGTACCGAAAGGGCAGTGCAAGGGTATTAATCATTCCTTGACTGTTACCGACTCCCGAACTCGACATATTTATGGTAAAACGTAGATCATGTAAGATGATCGATTGAGGTGTCCGGTCAACCTAATTTAAAAAAAATACAATGATTGGTGGCGGCTCTAACATGTTCAATTTAAGTCAAAACCCAATTCCGGGCCCACCTGAAGGACGGTTACGACATCCTTATATGGGAATTAATATATAATTATATTATGTTTGTTAAACATGTATGGATAATTAGAATCCCTATTATTTATATGAGAAAATGATTACATTTTCATATAATTAAAATCATTATCTAATGATCAAACATGATCTTAAATCATTTTATCATTCACTTGTGATCACTTAATCAAATAAATTTTTAATAAAAAAAAACTACATGAAGCATATTAAATATAATAATTTTATATAATATTCATAATTATCGATGAAAAGAATCATTTTCATATCGATTAGATCTCTTAATTATTTAACTATATTTATCTAATCACTAGTCGTTAATATTTCATAGAGAAAATGATGTGACTTGATTGATACAATTAAATAATTTAATTGACGAAATTTTAAAATTAATGGGAAAAATAAAAAAGAAACAAAAATTAGATGATCATATGTATAGTTTACTCTAGAAACGCTACATAATTGTTTTTCTATAGTTTAGAAAAATCAGCAGTGAGAAAAATGAGCCACCCGGGGTCCAATGAAGCCAATCATCAATCAAATTAGAGAGCACAATGAGGGGAAATGACACCTTAAAAAAAGGGCAAACCAGAAAATCGCCTCAAATTAAAATTCCATATATACAAACAAGTGTAAAGTTGCATTGCTACCTAAAGCTTCTGTCCAAACATCAAGAAATTAGAAAAGATAATTCAGGTACCACACGAATGCAAAATGGTTTAAAGACCCGCCAAGTTGTGTCTACTCGTCTGGAACGTAGAAATCAAACCTGACATCGACCGAACCAGACCGGTCTCCAGTATCTTTGTACTCGATATTTGTTATCGTCCCAGCTTCATTTTCCTCTAGGTATTCTGCCTTCACCCGCCGAACAGGCACCGTAACGGAGTAAATAGTTCCCAGATCAGAATCGGTAGAGACACTAAGCAGAACCTTGTCCTTCGACTCTATCTCGACAAAATCTGACAGAGCGTGCACGATGTTTTTGACAATTTTCTGTTTCGCCTCATCACTAACTGCACAGCGATCAGAGAACAGGATCATCTTCAAGCGCTGCTTCGCTATATTTGCATTCGAGCTCCTCCTAGTTGCCGGAGATGGGAAAACTATTTTCCAAGCCAAGTTAAGTCGCTCGAAGAAGCTCATGTTTATGGCATGTAAGAGGAAGCTCTCAACGTCTTCCTGAACGGCATTTGGAGACAACTTATAATCTTCCATGATCCCTGCTGACCTCTTAGTTTGGCCGCCAATGCTTCGACTATTAATTGCCAATCCATTCCATTTTGGTGTGATTTTGGAAAACCTTGATCCTCCATTCATGAAACACACGAAATCTACCTATAATAGAGCACCAAAATCAAAACAAAAAGACCAGAGAATGTACACTCTTCTATAACTGTTATACACATGTAGAACATCGATTAATAACTAACAAATGGTGCTCTGTATGAAACAATGAACTATCTTGTCATACAATTAACAAATAAAGCCAATGCCCAATAGCTATGCAAAAATAACAAAACACCACTTTTCTACAGAAAAAGTAAGACTCAAGGTGCGGAAAACCTCAGCTATAAGGTTGAAAACTTGAAATGATAATATCTTTAAACATAATCCAACAGAAAGTCGTCACTCATCACCGGTATCACACCAAAGTGTTTCCCACAGTGCTATCACACACTAGAGATTCTACTACAACTCTCACATTAATAGAATGAGTCTTCGGGCAATTGTGGCAGATTGGCAGCCATCG